AAGCAACTTTCTATAAAGTTCCATACAAGGGTGGTGGTCTATTTCTATAATTACGGCGATTCAGCACACTTGGAATAATCGTACAAACCATTCGATGAAAGGTAATATCAGCCGTTAAAATTCACCTTTTTTTTTTCTATTATTGATTCAAGATAATGAAACATCCCATTTTCTTCTAACCATACCACAAGGTAGATCCAATGTCAAACTGTTTATTTTTCGGTATAAGGCTATATGGACTCAATCAAGTTATTCGGCTTCACTGTACTTGCTAAAGGTGGTTTCATTAATTTATTATTGAACAAAGTTTATTTTTACAATAGCACACAGTCACGCGCCCAGATTTTGTGAGACACTGAATGCTGAAATGAGTCTCTTGATGAGTTTTACTATTTTCAAATTCTACTATTCCACACAATGAAGTGTTTTAATGGTTCTGTATGTTTTCTTATTACACTGCTTTCGAGCCGTGACGTCATGTCTCTGAAATGTATATCGTTTGGACCTACAAATTGTTTGGGAAGAACAAAGAAGAATTTAGATTGAAAAATCAGCAGTATTTTAGTGGGTTATGATAGTTTTTATTTTGTTTGTTTTTCACGCGGTTTTTGGTATCGGAAACGATAGCTAAATCAATTACTGAGAAGGATAATGCAACGTCAAGAAATGATGGATCGTCTGCACCGGAAAAGTTTTCATTTTCAAGAGAGGAGCAAAAAAATATAAATTAAAGTGTATGACATTATGTTTTCAGAAACCATCGAGCTCGCCCGCGGGAGACAAACCGTTGGTACGTCACTCGCAGAGTTTTTGTTGAATAGAACCAATTTTAATATTTAACGTCAGCGAGGAAATGAAATAGCGTCGCTCACTACACAAACATAAAAAAATATGCGTATTACAGCGAAAAAATGATTAAAGAGACGGTGTAATCGGAAGTAGCACAGTTCGCCAATTTTCCACCTTAAAAACACTTCCCCTGTTGTATTGTGCCAAACCAAAGCCAGTGTGGTATTCTCGGATGTTTAACAAAACGCACATACAACCAAGTTAAATCGAAAATGGCGTTAGTACATGTTCAAAAACGAATTATGTTGTGAGGATTTTCCAATTATTTTACCTATTGAAAGAAAATCAACAATGGTATCCTGCTTCTTTACGTTCAAAAGTCTATATACAGCTCTACAGGATAGGAACTAAGATTGACACCAACGGTATTACTTTTTTAATGACATATACAAATCATAATAGGTTTTTTTTTTCCATTTGCTGTATGTACCGTAAAAATAAGTCAATTCTCGAGCAAAATAGAAAATTTAATGGAAAACAAATTTAAAAAATGTCATAAAAATGAGCTTTAATATAATTTGCTGATGGGACATGTTATTATTAATTTCATGTTACGTTGCAAGTATAATTCATCGTGTATTTCGCACGTACATATTATTATGTGATATAACTGAAAATGTAAAAATGTTTGTAACGAGGCGTTGTTTATTCAGAGCGACAAACGTTTCGCCTGTCGGTTGTACTATATTTTTTTAGGAATATACATTTTAATAAAATAAAAAGGCCGTATTTTTCCGTTGTTTCAGTATATTGTACCAATGTAGGTGTATGAAAAGTAATCATATTTTCATGCATATGTATACGATTAATATTGTTCATGCATGTACCAAACGCACGGCGAGATTTATCGTTCGCCTAAAACAAGTCCGTTCGCCCGAAAGATTAATGGCTTGACCTAAACTGCATTGCACAACAGTCTAAATACGGTACGCTGCGCGTTTCTTATGAATGTTTATGGTAATTTTTTGTTCAACAAAAATATGAATTACGATTATAACAATACAACAACGCCGGTCCGAGTAATCTAAAGATAGTTGCACAATGAATGGCGGACTGATTAAAATGTTTAAACGGGCCTGAGTGTGATGCTCGCTAAGAGAGAAAGCGTCGACAAATCAGTGTGCGAAGCCTCTTGACATGTGTAACGATCTGAACCGTGTTCGTTCACTTTGCTCTCATTTGGTGCTAATGACTATTGCTGTATACAAAAAAAAAAAAAAAACCAAAGACCATTTGAAAAAGTGAGAACCAAAAGGTTATTAGTAACTTTATACAATTTTACAAGACTGAAGACAGCAAAATGAAAACTATTTTTTTCTACATCCTATCATACAAGGAAAGTTTATTGGTTGTCTCCAATACACTTTAAATCGGTAAAGAAATATAAAACAAACACGAAAAAGTTTTATCCAAAAATAACGTATGACCGAAAACTTGTTTTTGAAAAACTGATTTGTACGCTTTTGGTTGTTATTACTTCATTTAATTCTCGCATTTCGTTCGCATGCAGCAGTGATCTCCTTAAATCATTTTAATTATATATCTATTATTATTTTATTGCACGTCTTCGCTGCTCATGTAGTTCTGGTTATCGTTTGAAGATACTCGAGGAAACGCAAAGATCTTTATAACGACGTCGTCACCTCATATAATCGTGTACGGTAATAGGATTAAATGCGAATTCGGAAAACCGCTCGAGCATGTCGTTCAAAATAATGAAACTATACAAACAGCCCATTGGAAAGCAGTTAAGCTAAATTGAAACAAAATCCGTTCAGTTCGTTAAATATATATCTTATTGAAGTATATGCAGGTAAATATCTTACAATATGTATCTTAAAAAATAAATCTTAGTTATCTATCCAATATGCATTATATCAAATATATATCTCGTAAGGTTTTAAGGTTTTATCATATATTATCATGGAAGAAAAACGAATAACGGTCAAAATTCAAATTATTCTTTTATTACATATGATAATAATAGAAACATCGTAATTATTTTTCAGTTTATGTGCTCGATTTTTTCCTATTACCTTCGAGAGATATTGTATTCGAAATTCCAATTGAATTATTTTCTTTTCAGTGTACCAACTAAAAATGTTTAAAGGGGGAGAACGACTATATTACAGCAATAACGTACTTGAAAAAAGTTTTTTTTTACAAGACCTCTTACTAATTTTTTTTTTATTTTGGCGACCGCTGCCAATCTCAATTATGCTGAGCACACGCTGCAGTATTTTTTAAACAAATTATAATCACCATCTTACACGTGATGAGGATTTTTACATACCCGTCATAGAATTTTCTATGGATCGGTAAGACGGCACTCCGGTTATGCAATTTCGATACTCTGAGGCGCGACAAGTGACAACCATATTATAATTGTTATTTTTAGAGATTGGCGAGCGCGCTGTTTCCGTCCGTGTTCTATTAATTTAGTTTTACAGCATAATAATATTTTTTCAATAAATGTGTACTATGTTTAGTTGTTGATTAGAAATTATAAAATTGCTTTTGTTCTGTTACGACGCGAATGACGCTTCTCAAAGATTATTCACGATACGAGGAAACAATTTTGATAGATGTTCGTTAAAGCTTAAATGTATTCAGCAATAAAAAGTCGTTTTACGGTAATATGACTCAATTTAGAAACTACAGTTATAGCTACAGTTAGTACACTAAGGAACCGAGTGTCAATGTAATAATAATTATTTCTAGCAGAGTAATAAGAATATATGTACGTTTGGTTCAAAATTAAGTTCTTCCACGTACCAACAAACAGTATATAAATATTAAACTCGGACACAAAATGTTAAATGAATTATAAGCTTAAATTAATTCTATAATATGAATCTTTGAATATTTGTGTGTTTACTAATCGATTCCTGCTAAAATAATAATAAGATTTCTAACGTTAACACATAGTTATGCACGATTCTGCAAAGTCGCTTTATCGCAGAGGGCTGGGGATTTGTTACTTTAGTGATTGAAATGTTTACAAGGGTGAAAAGATTGATGACTCGACGGGTAAATATATTAACATTATGAAAACGCATCGAATATTATGTATAAAATATGTATTTATATTATATATACATATAATATACTATATATATTGTACACTGTACGTGTTGCAAAACACCGTTATGTGCGCCGGATATTTGATTATTATCTAATGGTTTTTTTTAAATACTGATACATCAGGATAAAAGTGTTTCAGATTACACGTGGAATCGAACTTATATAGTATTAGTTTTACCTTCAAACATTTCACCAAACAAATTATCCGAACTTGTTATAAAAACATTAATAAATCGTTTACATTTTATTATCATACAATAGCCTAACCGTGAAAAAATATATTCAAATATCAATTTTTAAAAGTAGGAATAATTTGGCTAATGCACATAGTTAAGATGTAAATATAACACACTAGAATAATATGTGACTTAAACATTTTAAAACAATAAAACTCCCTAAACGTATTATCTTTATTCTTTAAATTAGAATCATCGACAATAATCTATCATATATCAAAAAGTGTTAGTTTAAATAAATTTGTTGTCAGCAAATATGTTGTCACCTTCTAAAAACTAAAAAGAATATTTTTCTATAGAACCCATAGTAATGGGACACTTTACTGTAACTAAAATGGAATGGAGTAAATGAAAATGCATGTGCAAATAAAAAGTAACCTGATAATTAATCTGCTATAAAAAAAATTTACAATGAACATAAAAAGAAGTGGAAAATTGTATGTATATTTAGAAAATATATTTATGTTTATTACGTTAAATGCAATAGATAAATTATCCCTTAAACATTTCTGGTATCTGTAAGTTATATATACTTTTGTACAGGGCTTAATAAATAAATAAATATGTGGTGAAAACTTAATAATATGAATACCTACATAATTATTGGATAATTTTCAAACCCATTAATCATCTAACTCCAAATAATTTTGGCATCTCGTTTTAATAATAAACGCGAGCTCTACAAATGTTGATGTTTATAATAATGAATGGGATTTTATACATTAATTTGAATATTTAATTTTAGGTGCTTGTTTGATAACTAACTCCTTGTGGCCCCATTTGTCACCACAAGCTCTTGCGTTATTAATAATTTTGCTTTTCGGTTGACAGGAGGTTACAACGTGACTGAAGACTTATATTAATCGAGAACCTAAGTAATGTGTACCAAGGTACGACTACAAGACAAGGCAATCTCTACCGACTCTGAACCCGTCGACGTAAGCATACTTATTTAACAATGAATTATGTTATTGAATTAGGTCTTAGGATATACTATTTTAAGCGTGTTACGTCTACTAGTTGTTAGTGAGACATGGGAAAAAACTGAATGTCTTCATTATGAATTCATAAGTTTGATAAAAATATAAGGATTCAGTTCATGAATATTGAAGCTCTTAAATAAGAATATAGACACAAAATAAATTTGACTAATTGGATGAACTTTACAATCTGGGAAAAAACACATGCAACTATGAGTGGTACAGAAAAAAATATTAAAAGTAACCTACCAAGCCGGTATAAGTCATAATTAGCTCAAATGATTCAAATTGATAAAAAATAAATTCGATTAAACGTATATAAAAATTAGTTTTGATTTAAGGTGCATTACAAATAAAAAAACAAATAATAAATCATTGGTGTATGACATGTAATATAATATTTGGTTAAAGTTGATATTACTTAGTACTTAACACTTAGTATGTGTTTTTGTACTTCTGATAAACATAAACAAGAAATGTCTATTATAATTATTATTAATATTATTATTAGGCTTATGTGTAAGCAAATATATATTTGATGGTGTACAAAGTTTACATAATATGCATCCGAGTATTGTATTGTTTTTTTATGGATTCGCATGTTTATTATATGACACCACTTAACCAATCGAACTTTTTTTCTAAACCGCACACAGCTTAGTTGTTCTGATGACGTCGAGGAGCTTTGAAGCTTTTCATAGGAAAACCCTCAAATTTGTTTCTGGATAGTTAGATTTCGGGGGTGCTAATTTCAAAACTACAAGGGAGCCAAACATATGCCGCGCTATTTGTCTTAGCTATTTGATATAGGCTTTTCTGTGCACTTGATATGCTATCAGTGGACACAAGAAAACGATTTTTCGCAGATGGATTGCGACGAGCATAGGGTACATCACTTTCTGGCGTCTTTGGTTAACCGCAAGGTGATATCCATCAAGGCGGACATTTGCAACGCCAAGTCGAAATGGAGAGTGCAACCCAAGTTGTTGGTGCAGAAGTTGGCTGAGAAGAATTCGAAGAACAAGCGTAAACTCGGGTAAGGTTACTGATGGAGTATTATTATTATTATTATTATTATGATTAAAACGTTGCTGTACTGTTTCGAAAACTTTTCACCGGTCGTTATCGTTACAGAAACGGTAGCAATTAAGATTCCCGACTAAATCTTCAGTTCGATAGTTATTTTCAAATAGACCTTTGTTGTCGTGTATTATTTTGTCAGTACATTAAACTCGACATTACGGTTCGCTGGTTGTCTCTACATTTACCGAAGATCCCATATCATTATTTTCAAACAATATTTCCACTCGATTAACGGCGGCTATATAAGTATACAACTATTGAAATTGCACATTGCATCGTTTCGCAATATAGACCTGATTAGTGGATAACAACTTTTTAGTTATTCTACATTATTATAAGTTTACAAAACCGCCCCAGACAGTGATAGGGCGAGCAAGCGTGAAAAACTATTTTCTCATTAGTCGACACGCTGTAGTATACAAAAGGGGCTTTATCCTCTCGGTAGATTTATTATGGATAGTAATTAAATGTGTCTGTAATAACAAAGGGTACATGTATATGAGACTTATCGATCTTTATTAATACCGACCGTGTTTGGTTAAAATTCCTTTGAAAAGTACTTTGAAAACATAGTACAAAAGTTCTATAAACAACCCAGAAAAGTTGTATCCAATTAAGCGATTTTCTCGAGCACTAACGTTCTTCAGACACAGTTCAAGTGTAACTAAAATTTGTTAATGCAGTATCCAGTGACTGGCAGCTGTTGTTGTTGTTGTTGTTAAAACCGTATAATGAGCACGTACAAGAATAAAATAACCATCCGTTCTTAAATTCGGGGTAAAAGTTTTATAATAGCAGCAAGTACAATGCCGAGAATAAAAATAAAATACAACAACAAGCTCCTTATGTCTTTTTAAAAGTCTACCGTTTCTTTTTGTTCGCACACTGTCAATTAGGTAAGAGCGTTATAAACCTATTGTTCGGTTTTTAAAACGCCCTTACTTACAACAAAACTACTGCTGTTTGACTAGGCTGATGATTTGGGTTTTTTTTTTCTTTTACATAAAGAAAACGGAGGAAAAAAGGCCGTTGTATGCACTCGTGCCAAAAGCACCACCATCACAACATTCACCACCATCACCATCACAGGCATAATATACAAGATGAGCAAATGTTCCATCATCATCATCATCACTGTGACGGCATCGTTAGGCCGGAGGACCCTCCTGTCCCTACCGACCAAGAAGTGTTCCAAAGTCAAAACCGAGTACCCTACTTAGGCGGTCATATACTCACAGCTGCTTTGCAAAGGTAAAGTAAATAAATAAACTGTTTTGTTACTCCGAAAAAACTCGGCAAATAACAATTTATTGACTCTTTTAATCTCTACGGTAACTGTTTTCAATTCTAAACACTTGCGAATTAAATATATAATTTGTAAAAGGTGCTCAGTTCACAAGTCAAACTTTCGGAAACTAAATAAACTAATATTTAATTATACGTTACAGCATAAATATATTAACTAAGTATATACCTTCTTTCTCAAATGAAAAAAACACAAAATTAAAGGCCGAAAATGTCTGTACGGTTTATTTTATTTTCAAATAGGTTCATATAAATTAGTATCTTCAAATACCTAGATCTTATTTATTTTATAATTAATATTAGTAAAGTCATATAAAATATATAAATAAGTATGTACATTTTGTTGTAAATTAATTTTAGGAAACTAAAAAAAAATATTAACTTTATATTTTAAAAGTTATAACATGTGTAATGGAAAAGTCCCGTTCTTATAGCGTACCGATTTGAACTATTAGAACTTATTACTCACCAAAATATTATTTATTGAAATTCCCTCATCTCCATTCCTAACTTTTATAGTAATAATATTTAAAAAAAAATACTACTTTTTAACAATTTATGAAGCGTCTATTATCATTCAAAAATAACTAAACGATTGAATTATCTAAGTTGATGACTTAAGTAAATAGGTGCAGGCAAAACAAATTATAATACTTTGTGTTCAATAACCATACCCAAGACGTTCGTATTTTGTGTTACTTTAGGTCTACTGCCGGTTTATCTGAAGACAATCGGCGATTTGAGAACGAAGTCGATACCAAAGTAAAAATGAAAAGAAAAAAACCGAGGCGGAGGTTCCACCACGAAGTGGAATCGTCCGTGATGAGACCTCAACCTGTCCCTACTATACACCCAGACGACTTACCTCAAAGAGCGAGATGGACAATCATTATAACGGCCGGGCTGCTTTTGATTACTTGCATGCTTTTAGTCGGCGTCACTCTTCGGATGGCACCCGTAATCGACGAACTTGGTAAGTTTAATTGAAAATTAAAAAAACAATAATAAATAACAACCCGCGCGACCGATATATTTCTTTCAAGTAAAAAAATCTCCAACATTAAAATCGCGATTGATAATCGAATTAAACTATAATATACTAGATTTAAATGATAATATCGAAAAAAAAAAACTTCAGTTGTGATAACGTTTTCACCGAATAATATAAGTTCTACGCTTTGTCGTAGGCCATACATAGAAGTAGATGAGCATCGCAGGTAAACATTTTGTGTTTGGAATTTTAATGATACTAAAATTCCATAAACCAGTCACAATTACACAACCAGTCTTATTGACTGATAATTCGATTTTTTTTTAAACAAAAATTACATTTTTTATTAATTTTAGAACAATTTATATAGGTCTTATAAAAATTGTGTAAATTAAATACTTTTTTGACCATACAATTTTTCCGGTATACAGCCTTAGTTACATTAATTGTATTATTATTATGGTGGTTATATAAATAACAAACATACTATAAAATATTGCTATTAACTATTTCGCATAAAAAATATCAAAACTATTGAATCGACCACAATAAATATTTAAAATAATACCGAATAATTCAATAATTATTTTAGATTTTCAAACAAGTTCTAAAAACTATAATGCTTTATTAATAAAATATTTGTTACTTTTATACACTATAAACATTAAATTCTCTATATACTAAAAAAAGTAAAGATCGACCCATTTATTATGACTTAAATTTTAATTTGACATAGAAAGTCCTGCATAACTCATAAAGAATATTAGTGAACAAAAAAAATAAATAAATATACGCGACAAATAAAACAATACAAATGAGGATTTGTGAATGGACATTTATTAATTGCGGTCCCTAAATTGATGAGGTAATTTATACTATTTAATTGTGAGCAATACACTTAAAACCTACCATTTTGATAAATTTAATTGATAATACTAATCAATGACAGTTTGTGTAAAAAGTAATATAATAAATGTATTTTAATTTTAATTATTTTCATCAAACAATTTAGCATTATTATTTTTATTTTTATTTAAAAAACAAATTAAAGTTTTTTTTTGTTACAAAATAATTATAATGTATGCCGTACACATGAGTTATTTCCCACCGAAGCTTAAACCATTTTAACATATGATTTTTTTTCACTTTAAGTATCCATTGATAGTTTTGTTATTCATAATAACATAATATACAATGTAGGTTATACATTACTATGTACTGTTGTTTAATATTTGCTCCCAAATCTTACAGCGCAATTAATTATTATTTATAAAACAAAAGGTTAACATATATCAGGAGAGGAACGTACTCAGGGGAAGGGTGCGGGAGGGCTGATGCTCCTCCCATTTACAGTATATTCAAATTTGGTTAATTAGAGAAGATATAATTTAAGGTATAATGTGAATATTTCAGGGCGGTTTTTTTTTTTAATTTATGTAATGTTGTCCTCGCTGTCATAATTTAAAAACCTTTTACCAAAATTTAATTTGATTTACAAAACTCAATTTTATAAAAAATGAAAAATTTCATTGGCTATTATTTTATCATTGTAGGGATACGTGTCCCTACATTAAGCTCAGCAAAAATAAGCGCCCTTAGTTTTTAAATTAACACCTCCAACGTTATTGCTGTTCACACTACACATTATCTTTGTAATAAAATAGATACTACGGTTTTATGTCAAACGCATTCCAGTAGTATATTGTTATTATGCGGTACGTCTGGAAATAATAAATTATGCATGAACCCCGTACAGAAATTCCGAAATGTGTTCTTGATGTCATATGGAAGGGTGTTTAAGAATAATGGAGAGTAAGTGCAAAGTTTAGCGGCTCACAAGGGCGTCCCCTTTGTTATTGGTACTAAGCGGGTCGAGGTGGGCATAAAGTTTGTCGTGCGAATTGTTCATGAACTGGCACTTGAATAAATTGTTCCCACGGGATGAACGAGACAAACGTATCGGCAGTTGACGCTGGCAGTAACAAGCCTGAGAATGAAGTTGTATCCCGAATAAACATTATTCCCGAAATCGTGCATAATATTGTATGTTATTATTGTTATACTATACGTACATAAGTTAAGCAGTTTGTACGGGAAGTATATCCGCTTTCTATAAGGAGGCAAAATCCCTTGAAATTAAGTCGTCGTGGTAGGTCCGTCGTCCGTCGTAGATGGTATACTATAGCTTTATTGTTTATCCTTAGAATCGCTTTAAACTTTTAAAAGAACGCGATAGCTAAAAGCAAAATTCAAAACACCCGAAACTACAAAATAATACTCATCCCCCCATCACATATCTAAGAGTAAGTATTTTGCAAAATTCTTTGAATTATTCCTCAACGGACTTTCCACTTTTTCTTTTTTAGACTAAAAACTGGTCGACGTTCTAATAAAAAATGATACAATTCAAACAAAGTATTACTAAACAAAATAAAAATACAATTTTTTTTAAAAAGGGGATTCGATACCGACCATTTTTAAGGAGTTTTGTATAAGCAATATTTAGGAAAAAGTGGTTTTAATAAATTTCGACCATGTCAATTAATTTGTTTAAGCTTCATGGTATTATTTTTAAATTAAATAATTTTGTCTATGAACCAGTGACCCGATTAAGTAATCTGAAAACAGATTTGAATTCGTTATGAAGTTTACTTGTGATCCTACAAAGTACTTTTTTGATATATTTTTCTTACTATGAATAAGAAACGTTTGAACATTTTATACAATTTTAAAATCAAATTGTAAAGGGATAAATTTCAAAATTAAAAAAGTGCCTTGTAGGATCTCAAGTGAACTTCATGACGAATACAAATTACTTATTGAAAAACTAGTTCGACCTGTGCGTTAGACAAAAGATGATGTGTTTTGACTGAAAAAACGGCCGCTATCGAATCCCCTTAATAAACAACGTAGATGAACTCACACAAACGACTTTTTTTCGGGGCGTAAAATATGCCTTTCTAAACACATTTACTAATAAATAAAATTAAAAATTAATAGTTTATCTACATTTAAAATTTTAATAAGGTTTTTGACAATGTTACTAGAGACCTAGTTTATGTATAATTTAGATAAGACAGAATTTTTCATTTTTCAAATAATTATATCTTTGAAAATAAAAAAGCACAACAAAAAAAAACATTATTTCCTTGGTTAATATGCTCTGTAAACTTCTCGGCTTCACAGAAAAGTGCATCCACCTAAACTTGTTTTGGTATGGTTTTGTTATAATTTATAAATGTTGAAAAATATATTACATACTCTTTTGAAACAAAATTTAGTTTAATATGTAAAGTTTATCAAAAACTTACTCCTTAATAAATAGGGGGTTTTACGCCCTAAACTCATCATAAGATAGATTAGTACTTTGAATTATGAAATTAGACATCAAAAGATATTTAATAGAATAAAATTAACAGGCGACTAAGACGTTAACTGAAAAACCCTATTCAAAAAATTTTGTTTCAAATTAAAGTTAAAAACATGTTCAACAAATAGGTCACATGGTTAAAATAATGCGCTTAAAATACTATTCAGACCACATGTTCAAAAATGAATAATTTTAACGCAAAAATAAAAGTAATCATTTTCTCTTTGCTTTCAGTTCGTGACCAAAACGCGGATTTAATAAACTCGTTAGACCGAGAAGAATTCGGACCGTCCGAAAACAGTACCGAAGACATGTATAAATAGTTAGGACATAATATTAGATTGATTTAACATAATATGAGGTTTATATAAAATAAAGTGTATACAAATAAAAACAAAAAAACTAAACATAATACATTATAAGTTATAATCTATAGTAATTGTTTTAAAAACGTGAAGGCACGGTAAAACTTAACAATTTAATAATATTGTTAACTTAACAATAACACATAATTTGTACGGTAATCACGTGTGTTAGTATTGATTTACATCAGTAATAGTTCTGGCGTTTGGACAGGATTAGGAGCTTCCAGTAGTGCTCTAATAAAAAAAACTAATTAGCTCTTCATTACAAAATAAAATTGTTATACAATTTCAGATTGTCTACTAAAAAAACAATCTTTAAAGTTATTTTCTATTACAACTAAATATAACTATAATGTATTATTTTCACCTATAATAATTTGTTTTTCATAGAGAACCTCCTTGCTTAGCAAAACTGTTAATTAGTGGTTATTAATTCTTTATAACAATTTAAACGTATATGTATGTATAAACATTTGAGATGTAATATTAAATCTGAAAAATGTATTTTATTCGTACAAGATAATTATCCAATCGTTTCTAGGTGCCAAAATGAATTAACTAATTTCGATTATAATATATTATAAGGGTTTTAGTAAATTTATCGTTTACCCTTTTCGCGGTGTGTCTATATTATACCTCTTTACTACCTGTTAATAATGGCCGATTCAGTCCACCAATATGGCTACAGACCAAATTATAGAAGATGAACCCGACAGAATTCGATATCCTTGCAAGGCAGACTCGTCCAATGGCTTCAAGTGCGATTGATCCGAGCATGTGAGATGAACGAACAGCGTTAGACATTTGGCCAGTTCGACGAACCGAGCCCATTGAGACTTCTCGAATAACATGCCTATGCTCGTCAACGACCAGGTAATGTAAAACACCACTACCAGCATACACTGGGTGCTGATTGCCTTTAAAACACAAACAAAAAAAAAAAACAAAAATCTTTTAAGATTTTCAAATTTTCATAGTTTCATCGAGCATAATTTGGTCTATTGTTTTTGGAAATTCACAATCATAACTTTTTAAATAGAAAACACGTAGGAACGATTTTGTTTAGGAAATCTAAAACCTAGTATTTTATTATAACAATATCCCCATTGTAAGTAGCCTATACATTGAGATATTGACCAGCCTTACTATTATATACATAGCACAAATATTGCAAGTGGCACAAGCTTATGCCGAAAAAGGCCACTTAACGGTAACCTTTGACAAAACATAAACTTTCAGGTTTTTTATTTCCCACATAACTTTGTGTTTTTTTTTTCTAATAAACTATACGTATAACCGATGATATATTCAATTTCCATTCTGTCATTACTCACGGTTTTTAAAAAAAACGCTCTAATATACATAAGTATATTTAGTTATCAAACTTGTTTTTACCAAAAAGTGACATTGCCCCTTTTTCACCCAAACCACAGACATTACATTGATGATCATGATAATATTGTAATTTAAATATATTTTAACGATTATTAAAATCATAAGTTATATTTTATACAGGCATTTTTTATTTTATTACTCATATAACATAATATTATTAATGAAATTTATTTGTAACTCATCGTGCATCAAAAACTATGTTAATTTATTAAATTCGTCTGATCACCGAATTATCAAAGTATACAATTGTTTTTTTATGCTTACAAAAGAATTAATCGAAACGTAATATTTTGTATTTTAATTCGCCGATTTTTTTAAAATTATTTTTCAAAACAAAGCTCATTGCAATATGACAAACAAAAGTAAATGGTAATGTAATGTTTTATAATAGTAAAACCAATTTTTCGACAAGGTTCATTTTCGCATAATACATAACGGCAACTGCGAACGTTTTTAAATAACTGTATTATAAATATATTATTGTATTTTATAACAACAAGTGTTTTGTTTTATCCTTCTTTTGTGTAAACATTACCAACAATCGTTATTGTTGTAGCGCTGTAATTATAAATAACGATACCTTGTAATAATACCTAATCTAACACGTGTGGACATTATTTTTGAATTAAAATCTTAGAGATGTGATTTTCTTATTATTTTTGCCACATCTGAGATCGCGGCAAATAGTGTTGTTTTTGCGCGATTACAAATTACTGTTGTAATTTAGAAATTGTATTTAAACAAATCTCTACTCTAGTGTAAGTAATATGGATGAATAAGTTTGACTTTCCTTAATGTTGCAAAATTTGTATTTGTGTTTTTGTTCCCGACAGTGTTACTCAAACAATAAAAATGTTATTATTTATAACAAAATTAATATCCTTATGGAATGTCTAAAATGTGCCAACCCAGAGGCGTTTCTCCGAAAAAAATACTTGCTGATTTAATTTGTTTTGTTTTTTAATGGATAACGAGTTAAATAATGAAAATATTTTAAATTATAAACTATTTGTTTTAAAATGTGAGTTTTCCATTTTATTTGATAAATCTATACAGGATGTTCCGGATTTCTTTAGTTTAGACTTATAATTATAAATATTTATACCAGCTACATCATATTTTTATGTCCAACATAATAACTCATATTATTATTATTATTATTATATTATGTGATTATTGCATGTTGTGATGAGGTATTGTTATGTTTGAAACCCGTGTTTGTGTATAGCGATTTATCGATGTTTTATTATTATAATAATTATTTAAATTAGTTGTGTAAATAAAATTATAATAATATTTAATTATATATTATTACAATATTAAATTTCATTATAATATCACAATTATTGTAATAAAAACATTTGTTTGTTGATTGTATGATCATTACCGTTTTCGTGGTTATTTCTAAAATAATAATATTATATTTAACTCCTAGCATCTTTTTTTCTAGAACGTGGTATTTCAACTATTATCACCCATCCCATGAGTACTTTTTCTGGGTAAATATTTTAAAAAGATTTACAGGGATCTCTACCTGACCGGACGAGCTTTTAAGTAAGGATTTGGCCCATATATATTTTTTTATTTACCACGCGTTCGTTTTAAAAAATCGTTTAAAATGCACGCCTGTCGATGGTATACCTAAGCCTGTATACATTTTTCACGTGGCGCACTTACCGTACGTGGTATATTGGCCAAGATAAAGTACCCGTTGGCCGCTGCGACGAAATGGACTAATAAATAAATCTTGAGCGTCAGCGAAATTTTCACGTCGTATTTTTTCCTCCGTTTTCTGACCTGAATTAAATTAATTTTACAAGTTAAAAAAAATATATATACTTCCATCGGTGAAGGGCGTGCGTGGTGCCGTTAACGGAATGATTGTTGGAAAGAAAAATACAAATAAACCCAATTACGCAGGCACGGTGTTTACTGTCTTTGCCCGTCCACGAGAGTCCCGGCGTCCAGCTGGGTCCTCTGACCACCGATCTCAGTTTGTCTCGCCAGTCTTTCATTAGGTTCCACTTGTTGTATACATTGTAGTTGTAAAATATCTATAGCAACACACCAGTTAGAGACACGCGTCGATCGGTCACACGCCGGGTCTATGCGTGGGATACCTGCAAGTACACGGGGTTGTAACTACTCTTTTGGTACACCAGACCATAGTTGATGTGCGTTTTCGGGTCGACCTCTTGAAACGTACCGAAAATGCGGTCCCATATTATCAAAACGCCGCCGTAGTTTTTGTCCAAACAACGCAGGTTGCTCCCTGACACGGAATAAAAGAAATTAATTAATTACTGTTAATTAGGTTCGATTACTTTGTAATTTTAATTAGACCAATTAAGAAACCCAAGCGTTCAAAAACAAAAAAAAATTATCCAGATATGTCTTTCCGTTACAAAGTTATGCGTGAATATAGCTTAAAAAAAAAAAAATACATACAGTCCGAATTTATAACCTTCTACTTTTTTGAAGTCGCTTAGAGTACTCGAGATAATTGTGCATAAACGTGTCAACGAGTTTGAGGGTAGTTTGCTGTTTAAAGAATAACGTTTTGACAAGGAGGTGATTGATGTAACCGAAAATCGTTGAATTAATATATTATTTATCACTTGTTTCGACTAGAAAAGTCAAGAAAAGTAATGAACGAATGGAAAAGAGACAACTCGAGAGTGGCCCCGATAGGAGGAAGTCAACTTGACCCAGTTTAAGTCCAGAGTGCCTATTAATTAAACAAAAAAAAACATGCAAAACTACAACAGCTCGATTGTGTTCGTTGTGTTCATTCTTACCGTGATGCACCCTGTGGTGTGCCGGAGTGTTTAAAACGTATTCCAATGGTCCCAGGGTAGGTATGGTCTCCGTATGAATCCACACTTGGTAGAGAAGACCGAGTTGCTGGTGGACGAGTAATAAAACTGGGGGAACGACCAGGGCAAGAGGTGCATAGAACAACTAACAAAAATGTGTTCACTAAGTGGTTTTCTCATTGACACCATTAGGTACCATTATACCATTTAGTATACTCAATGGCTGTACTACATATAGAACTTACGACTCCGACCAAATACTGGAACACCGACTGTCGGACGCCCACGGCCACGTTGAAATCTTCTGAGCTATGATGCACCTGATGTTGTGCCCAAAATATATGGATTTCTTAAAAAAATATGACGCGTAAAAATTATTAGACATCTGATATGTTTTACATTTTCATAAAAAACAATTTTATTTCCGTTCATTATCGAAGCATATGAAAATGGATGCCTCAATATAAGACTGATGAGAAATGACCGACCAGCAATATTAGAGAAAGAAAGAGAAAATGAGAAGTGGAAAGAGATTAGACTCTAACCTCATTCCATCATTCCTTCCTCTAACCGTTAGAGGAAGGAATGTGTATGTTGGATGATCGTGTAATAATATTTCTCGTGGGTGGTCAACCGCAAGCACATATTTTATGCTGAAACTACTCCGTTTGAGTAAATGAAGAGTTAAAGTGTCAAACGTGTTCCAAGTGCCAAAGTATAAAAATTAAACTTTATAATTTTATTTGTATTTTATTCATTACCGGAAACACTTTAACATGTTTTTGAGTTTTCAACATGATTGTTTTTTTTTTATAAACAACTATTCTTTACTTGAAAAATGTACAAAATTGTTTCCGGTAATGAATAAAATACAAATTCAAACTATAAAGTACAACTTTTATACTTTGGCACTTGGAACGTTTGACACTTTCACTCTTCAAATATTGTACATTTTTTAACGTGATACGGGTTCCGTTAGCCGGACATACCGTGGCTGGCCCTGTGCATCCAGTAGTAACAAAAGTCCACTATTACGGCGGCACAATACCAAAACAGCACCGAATCCCAGGGCAGAGCCAATATCCTATAGTTGTCGTATACCCAAATATACAGACATTGTTCCGATCCTCGGTAAAGCAACCTGTGCCGGAACACACAATTACTATATAAATATCATATCGTTGTTTTATATCGTCACAGACTTGGCACATTCCTGCAAGATGGCATGGCTCATTGAAGTGATGCTGTCGTTCAATCGGATCACGTCTTTTTTCTGCCACGCTCGCAAAACGTTTTCTATTGCTAAAAGGACCATAAAATAAGGCCACGCCTGTGGATAGCAAAAGGAGTTTAAAAGTTAAACATTTTAATAATCTGTATAACTGGCATAGGGAGATCGGCAATAATGAAACAAGAGTTGCTAACATCACGAAGATCCTAATATTTTATATTATGATTCGACCCTTTCCACAGGTTAGTGATGTGGTTTGAGGATGTAAGCAAATGTGTTGTGTATTCTCGCTCATTCTTTCATTGAAAACTGCTTGCATCCACATACCCGATTATCTAATTACTTCAATAAGATGACACTGTTAAACAAACGCATTGGATTTTATCGTTAATTTAAAAAAAATTAAGAGCCTCATCTCCAAAGCAAATTATGAGCGGTGACACAACAAAATATTTTTAACCATACCTACAAAAAATATTTTTTTGTAGACAGTCCTAAGTCTGTTAAAATGGGAAGGAAAATATTTTGAACTCAATAGTTTGCATCAAGACAAAGTGTTGACATCTTTTATTATTATATTTTATTAAACTGTGCTAAATGCTACTCGTTAGTATACGTTTATTATTTATATTGATTTCCGCGTAAAAATATTTTACAGTCTATCCGACCAAGACATAGTAATATTTATCTATGTACTTTTGTATTCTAAACAATCATAATGTTATTCTTTCTAAGCGTTCAAAACATGTCAACTCTCGCAGCCACCATTGTGTTTCAGCATTACCGACCGGTGGTCTTATCAATTTGCAGACCAAAATATAATTACCTGAACGTATATGAGCGGTACGCGTTTAAGGTCATCGTACATGTACCGTCGAGGATTGGTCAGATAGAACATGTCCCACATTAACACGGTGTCGTTGCCAGTGTGACCCATCTCTTCTGTAGGCTATTCGATGGCGACTAAAAACATCTACCACAGCACCGTATCTGCCGTCAAGATAACTAAAGTCGAAACCGATACAACGGAAAGAATGTGAGCTTAAGGGAAATTTAATACTATAATATATTCTACTGGCCATTTCTTTTCCCTTTTTTTCAATGTGTTTATATATGGCTTCTTAAATTTTTCTACGCATCCCACTGTACTTGTAATTATGTAACGTTCCGGCATGGTACAGTCGATGCCTAGCAATAATTGGATTATGTTTGTTTTGAACCATAAATATATATATATATATATATATATATACCCATATGATGTATGTATACTGAATATAGGTAATACTACTTATATTCCATTAGATTTCCAGCGTTGTACTTGAATATATCAACAAACTAAGTCAGGTAAAAATACTCTTTTACTGGGAAAACGATAATTTTATTTCGCAAAACATTTAAAGTCACTGAAATGCAATTATCACATAAAAACGACCGATTAATATATATTCTATCACATAAGTTCACCTAAACTTTATATTTTTATATTGAAATTACACAACTGGAGTTTGGCGCAGACATAGGCTTATTATCGGTGTAGTAGGCCTTTTTTTATAAACGTGTTATTATTAATAATTCCATTGAAAGTACTAATTCTTCTTTAATTCTAACGAACCTACTAATGTCTTTATTTAAGTATTTTCTGCAAAAGCCTCCTATTATATTCCTTTAACTATGGCTAAGTTTCAGGGTAACTTAAAACTCAATATCCCCACTTTAAATTGCACATAGTTACACAGTAAAAGGTTTAAACACAATTCAAACTGCTTGGTCCTCCCAATTTTATTTTTTTAATTCCACCCACAAAGCTTTACGATTTTCCAGTATAGTGAAAATGTCTTTTATTATATAGTTCACTTCTGGCTTAAATGCCATCTAACTCTAACTTAAGACATGCCTACATTAAACGCGCGTTTTTGTAGGTTTGCAAATAATTCCCATGCGTATTTCCCCTAAGTTTGACCTCGGCTATATTTGTTTGGTATATACATTTGTCCATCTTCTCCAGTTGTTCGAAGAAAAAAAGGTACGTTTAGCTATTACGTAAAAAAAAAAAGAAAACAAGTAAGAAAAATTAATTGGCACAACATTTAAAATGAACTGAAAAATTAAAATAAGTTAAAAAGTCATTGGACCGCAAGATGTGAACAAGTTATACACCCACTTACATAATATTTTAACCCATGTAGTTAACTTGTACTTGACTGCATATCATAAACCACCTAATGTGTTATTATCAAAGCAATTGATGTTAACGTAATTAGAAAAAGTAATTACTGATTGGCTTTTATGCCTTATGGCTTATAGCCATAACATTTTACGTGACCTTTTATTGATTCAATATTTTTTGTATATTATATTTTGTATTAAGTATTGTTTTGTGCTTTAACTTTTGTATACTACGTTGTTAATATTTTAAAAGTTATTACACTCAGGATTAAAAAAGAGTAAACATATCAAAACACTCTATCTACTTTCTATGTGTTATTTTTATTCAAGTTACAGCCTTAAATTTTATACTTATAAAATATTTGTTTTACTTTTTTAACCCAATTGTGTAACAAATCACAAAAATGATATTTTGTTTTGATAAATTTAGTAGATATAGTACTTTCAAATCCAGATTTACATAAAACAGTTAATAATAATATTTTTAGTTCTTGACCAATTGGTCAATTGTATTATTAATCAAAATGGCATACAAAAAGAAATTGTTTTAAAGCAACATTAAAAATCGATAAAGTTCGAAAATTTCTTTGATCTTTACTAACATTTTTAAAAACAATTTTTATAAACCTAAACTAAAGATATTCACTTACTCGTACATCTAAATCGTATGTATACCTATAAGTTTTAAATGGCTTGAATAGTTGTTCGGATGTTGGATTTAAAAAAATGAATGATAAATGTTTCAATTATTATTATTAGTAATAATATAACATACAGTATGTTCTAGATTCCTAGAATTTCAATTTCAATTTCTTTTCGTTTTATTTTGTTATTTGCATATAAGGTAATTTAAAAATGTATATAATAAAAGCAATCTTTTCAGATTCCATTTTTTAATTAGAAATTACCCAATCATAATTTTTTTTCATGAGATTTCAGAGGCTTTTTGGTTACTGTAATATTATAATGCAACTTACCGTGTGCTGCTATCTAGCGATAGTTTTCAGCAAACTGGCGGTGTACTATTAATACACTAGATACTTTTTAGGCCCTTGCGTATTACCCTAGTTAATCATTTATACTCGAATGTACATTATACCTACCCTCTTATTTTCACTTTTCTGTTGAGTTATATATTTAATTACCATATACAGGATGATCCAACTAACGTAAGACACTCACTTTCTCTGAAAATATAAATATTTTGAGAATTTTTTTTTCCCTTAACTTTTAGGTACATGTTTTACCACATTTTTCAATATTTTGAAAATTTTTATCACCAATCTTTATAAGCCAAAAAGGGGGATTTTTGGTTTTTTAAATGGCAACATATGTTTTTAATTACATAAATTTGTAGACAAAAAATTAAAAATTACGTTAGCGTTCAAATTTTGAATTTTCATTTATTTGTTCGTTTGTTATGACTTTATGAAGATTTGATTTTTTGACTGTATTTCTTAATATTTTCAATCGTTACTACAAAGACGAGTAGTTTTATTACATCGCGTACAAATAATTTGACGTGTTACCGTACTCAGTATCATAATCAGATGTAATAAATAACCTGTAATCTAAGTAATCTGTAGATAAGAACCGCTTGTCTATCATTATTTCAAAATCTTTTATAGTGAATTCCTAGTTTTTAGAATGTTATCGCCAGTTGGACAATGCGAACATAAATATGAATTTGTTGTGCTACCGGTTTTGGAAAACCGAAGAAATATGATTATTATTAAGAGTATCTTAGTTTGTTAGTATTTCAACAAAGTCGTAACTAATAAACAAATTAACAAAAATACAAAATTTAACGCTCACATATTTTTAAATTTTTTGTCTACAAATTGATGTAATTAAAAACATATGTTGCCATTTAAAAAAACCAAAAATCCCCCTTTTTGGCCTATAAGGATTGGTGAAAAATTTCAAAATATTAATAATTGTAGTAAAATATGTACCTAAAAGATTAAGAAAAAAAAAAATTCTCAAAATATTCATATTTTCAGAAAAAATGAGTGTCTTACGTTAGTTGGATCACCCTGTACATCCATATATATATTATTATACATATTATATATTTATATGTATAACCTTTCATTTAATACTTTAAATTTAGCTTGTTAGCTACTGCTAAGCTCTAGGATTTACTTCAGTATTATTTAAATCGTATGAAATGTACTTGACGGGTTTCTTGTGTTTATTCATCCTCTTCTTGACCTAGTCATAGAAGCAATAAATATTGAACGTACCCATAATAATGCTTACAATGCAATAAAGGAAAATAATTATAAATTAATTGCAAATTATAAATGGTCACAAACTCTGTTAAAAAGATAAATAATACAAAAAAATCTTCAAATTATGCATCTTTATACACCGTAACCAAAAAACAGTAATACCCAGAATAATAATATACTCGTATATAATATATATATATATATATATATATATATATATATATATATCATTATGTATATATATATACATTACATTCATTTTAATTGTAATAATTAATTTGGTAATTAGTGTATTTATCCATAATATTATTTTGGTGATTTGTGTTTTGCATCAAAAGGTTAGTTTTCTTATCTTGTAAAAAAACAACATGATTAATTGTAGAATCAGTACCTTATACATTAAAATATTGTAGATATCATATTGTTATATACTAACATTCTTTTAAACGTTAAATGAAAACGACATTCCTAAAAATTAAAACATTTTCTATCCTCGAGTAATATGATTTTTTTTACAAGTATTTTTTAATTTAAATGTTTTTTCAAACCAATTTCTATAGGAAAATATTATTTATCGGATAATACATATAATAAGCCTCGGTAATAAAGGCCCTTGGCTAAAATATTGTTAACAACTCAGTTCCAAAGTTTTCTATTGAAAAACCTTTGTGGAATTTTGCATTTTATCAGTTATTCTTCTTTGTGTTATACTGTTATCGCTTAAACCAAGTACGACTATTGTCTTAAAAAATATTTATTTAAGTCATACACCCTAATAATTTAATTTACCCTTTTTTCCAGTAAAACATATTCTTCACGTTTAACTCGTATTGCTACAGACAAACACGAAACAATGTGAGGGGGGGATAAGCTGTGTAAAATATACCTTTAAAAACTAAATTACATAATAGTATAAAAGGTACATATATTTTCATTAAGTACATCTGTACGCCGGTGAAAGAACAATACCTGTTCGTTAGTATCTATTCGTTATGGCCATATTTTGTGTCCTATGTAAAACATATAAGGCATTATTTTTATTTTTTAATTAGAATAGTTGTTTTAACATGTATATTTTTATACATGTTGCTGTTCGTACACGACAAAGCAATAATAAACACTTTGACGACAATTACTAGACACTTTTTTGATTCCAACAAAAATTAAAATGTATTATACGAAAAATGGGATTATACGTATGTATGAATATATTTGTATTATGTGAACCAGACGTGTAGGATTTACTTTATACAAGCACCACACGTTATTTGTTAGCATAGCAGTAGGTAAGTATACAACGTGGTGCGATCAACCAACACATAATTTATAAAAAATATACACATATAATATTGTTTGGAGTTTTACATTATACTTATTAATTATTATAACCAGCTATTGTCAACAACCGTATAAACAAAGTTTCAATATTATAATTAGATAACAATTAACATGTATAGGTATTTAAATTTTTTACAGGCCAGATTCCATGAAAAACGGCGGTAGAAATAAATACACATATTCTTATAATAAATTAAAGTTGACAAATTTATTAAAGCTTAACAGCTTTTGATCAACAAAGATCAAACACAAAAAAATGTATGCCTTTTTATTATTAATTCAATTCTGTACGTGAGAGGCAAAACATAAAATGTGAACGGTGTTGAGGTTTATTAAATTGTTTATGGTGTTTGGAGTTTATATTTTCTTGTGTCAAAATATGATAACTGTAGCTCAACTACTTATAATGTAGGCAATTATCGAACACTGCATATTTTTAAAAATCATAAAAATTATAAGAAAAAAAAATTATAATTAAGCAATAAACCTAAAAGAGTGTTTAAAATTTGTTTCAATTGTTAGAAGTCATAATTATAACTACAAACATATAGCTATATAGTTATATATACAGCGTATATTCAAGTAGTTAGCACTTCATTTATTTCATTACTATTTACTACTATTAACATACCCAAATAGAGGTAAGAGGTTTGGATATTGTTTGCAAGTGGTATCCATGAACCATATTATGCAACGACGCCAATATAAATAAATATCTTACAAAAAATCGCACTGTTAACTAGTCAACGTGCATTAATTTTGAATCAAAATCGATCAGCTGCTAGTTGCAAAATAACTCATTTATTCATAGACGGAATGAGGGGTGGGCAATTAGCCCCACCAATGTAAAAATAAGTCACTCCCGAGTCCTGTAAGTTTTAGCTATAAATTTTTTTTGATATTTTTAATTATTCATTTATTTTTTACCTCCAAAAATCAGGTCTTAAGCCTATGCAGTCATTTTGTAAACTATTTAAATATTGTAGTTTTGTGTTATTAAATTTCATACATTTTGTTTTGTTAATGTTTTTATTTCATAATTGTTTAAATAACTTATACTATTACATAAAATATTACTTAAATTGATGTACTTCATGTATTATATTATATAAATATATACAATAATAATATGAGGAATGGAACTACAGTAACATACACTGGCGGCTCCATTAACGTCACTGACACAAATAAAATAATTCCGACAGCGTATGTATATGCATCAGAAAAGTTAGGCTGGCTCACACGCTTAGAAGCCAAGGAAACTCTACTCCGAATAGTGTTTTATACAACAGGGCATGATAAATGGCAAAATATGAAGTATCAAGTACTTTCGTTTGCTACAGATGCCGTGATCCAAACACTGTCGGATTTAAAGTGTGGATTTTAGGGTTCATAAAACATAATTATTAGTATAAAGACCGGTGCTAATTATGCTATATACCTGATTAAACCTTAGAAGTATATTCTTTTAAATACTAGTCAAATAGATCCATAACTGGCGATTGTGACCGGATAGACTCTTAGTAGATTTTTAATATTACCCGTACTTGTTTAACAGTGGCAAACAATTAGGGAAAATACTAAGTAAAATATAAGCACCCTAATATATATATATATATATATTATAGACAATCATTATACAGGAATATTTTTTTCCGTACAGACTTTGAGAATGATCTCATGTCGATGAGCGGAATCGAAACCTATTTTGAGTTTTGCGAATGCGGGACTTTAAAGGGTACACTCGGTAGCTTAATTATTTTGCTACGATAATTCCTTGAATCGTTGTTCTAACGGGAAATGAGTTTTCTCATGGGATTTATCGTTCCCCAAACCCCCTATTTTTAGATAAGTCACACTATCTTTGGGATTTGCGGACGCCTTCGTGACGCTACGAGATGCCAGCATATAAAAATCTCAAGACATATCAAAATAGATATGTCAATAGGGGGTCGAAAAATCTCATGCTACCTTTGCTTTTGTATTAAATTTAATATTAAACGAGATAGCTGCCGTATGTACACTTTAAATTCTCGCATCCGCAAAACAAAAAATAGGTGACATAAGATCATTCGCAAAGTTTGTACGGAAAAATATAAATCACTCTGTATGTACATAATACAAATTTAATTGAATTGTTTATCGTTATTCATAAGACAATAGTAATAATTTAATTTGAATATAAAATGATGTGGTCAGAGATGTGGGAAATAAAGTCCATAGACGGAATCTCCCTCCCCCCCCCCCCACACACACAAAATGTATTAACGTCTAAAAAACTAATTATCATTCAACTAACAAGACTATTTTTTCAAGATTAATTAACCAAATATTTTAAATTGTCCTGAAATAAGTGTAATTTTCCGTCCAGTAGAATATATTGACAATAATTTGAGACAAGACACGAAATATTGCGTACAAAAACACTAAGTATTCGACACGACGTGGCTGTGTTGTTTAACTAATTATTGATATAATTAATAGATAAGTATTTTTTAAACTAATAAAATCATTTTGGACATTTTCACTGAACTATAAGTTTAGTGGTTTGTACGGCGTTTAAATTCCCCGCCACCGCCAATTGCCTAACGATGCGCATCGTTGGCAAACGGTGCGCACCGGCCGTTGCAGTGTGGCCGCTTCGGTCCAGCAATAACGGCATCGGTGGCGGTTGGCGTTGGTCGGCGGCGCTATGCCGGCAATTGAGGCGACGGACCGGCGGGCGGGGCGAACCAAAAAATCGATGGAAACGCGCGCGGCTGGCTCTACAGTGACACCCGGCAGCGGAATCCGGACGCTCAGTCACCAATTTTGAAAAACATGATCAGCTACATGAAAATTAAACAATGTAAAAAAAGAAATACCCCAGAAACAAGAAAAATATACTGCACGTCAAAGACCAGGGAATAGGTAAAAAAGTCAGAAGCAAACGCTTCGAACCCATGATTGGACGGTTAACTTTGGCGGGCGTGGGTCAAAACGCCGCTAGATGCCGCCACCGTCGTGAAAACGCAAGCGCGTACAACCGCGTATGAACGATTCTATGCGCGCGTATGTGTAGCATAATATATTATAATACTTGGGCAATAATGTTGTAATCTCGTTAATAACATTAAAATCCCGTGCGTTTTCGTCAGAAATGATTGGCTTCTCTAAAATCGAATTAAGTCTAACAGGATAATAAGTGGCCGCGCCGCCAACGGACGACCAAAGCCATCGTGCGTGAGTGCGTGTTTCGCCGAGTGGTGTCGGTCGTCGCGAGTGGGCCATTCTCGCCGACGTCGTATGCCCTTGCCGTCGGTGGTGGTGTCGCCGTTGCCAAACGGTTATTCAAATACCGCCTGCTCATTATTATAATAATTTTGTAGTATATAGTATAAATATATATATATATATATATATTATATACATGTTTTGCATTTATTCTGCTTCAATAAAAAACCCCGACGTCAAGGTACGAAACACGGCAGAACAGTTGTTGTCTAACTGCAGCAAGAATAATTAAATTTAAATTGACAATATCTGCGATTGTCGTTGGCCGGCGGACATCGGCTACAAGAAGCGTGCCGCGCGTGTGTAAAGCGACTATACGGCGCGTTGCGGTGCAGATTAAAATTTCCGGTCGAGCGTTTCTCACATCAGCTGCTGCACACGGGCCGCCGGATCGCATTTTTTTTCACTACCTCCTACTCCGTCACCACTCACCTCCCGCCTCACCGCCGCGTCCGTTGTCCCGCTCCCCCCACTATTCTCTCACTCTAGCGCGCGCACACACCGTCGCCGCCGCCGCCGCCGCCGTCACCACACCCAGCCGCGCGCCGGCGAGACGACCGCCCCAGCCGAGTGCGCGATATCGCTGTACACACTCACACATACACACGCATACGTAATATACAACACACACACACGCAGAAATTTAGCAGTCTATCGTATTATTATACCCGTACGTGTGTTAACGTGTGTACAAGCAGTGAGAAAATCAAACAGAAAAAAAAAAAAATAAAAGTTTCAACCTATCTGTGTCGCCCGCGCGCGTATCGCGATGAGCGAGATCGTCTAATCGAAAACGATAACGCCGAACGCCGCCGCCGCCGCGCGCATTACACGCGTACGCGAGAAAAATTCGATTTTCCGTCAGTGCGAGTACCACGGTTTTTGTTTTTCGTGTGCCGTTCCGTGGACCGGGCGTATTTGGTGTCGGTCAGCGCGCTCGTCAGTGTGTATTGTGTGTTTAACCGTAGTGCACAGCCCGACAGCCGCCGTCGTCGTCGTCGTCGTCGGGGTGTGCGACGGACTGGGCTTTTGCCACAACCGACGCCGAGTGCGGACAGCGGGTGGACGTGGGTCCGTCGACACTTTGGAAACGAGAAGAAGAAGAAAAAAACGTACATGGACGATGCAATTTCGCCGGTCGTCGCCGCCGTCCTAATAGGGTGACGGGCGGCCACACGAGTGGACGTGGACGGATCCTGAGTAACGACAGTCGCTGTGCGTAATTCTCAGTGAGGCCCTGCGCTGCGGTCACTGTGGAGTGGCACGAGGCGTCTGCTGCTGCTGGCCGCATCGGTGGTGGTGGTGGTGGTGAGAACGGCGGGTGGGCATCGCATCGGATAATAACGGGCGCGCCGCGGCAGCCTACCGTCCTCCGTCGTCGTGGTGGACCGGGCCGCAAGGTGTTGCTATTATTGCAATGGCGTGTTGCCTGTCCGAAGAGGCCAAGGAACAGAAGCGCATCAACCAGGAGATCGAGAGACAGCTGCGGCGTGACAAGAGGGATGCCCGGCGAGAACTCAAACTCCTGTTGCTCGGTGAGTAAACGTAGTTGGTCACGCATTCACAACGTTATTAATATATTCAATAGTGTAGTTTACGTTGACTCTGTCTTTTATGTTGTTAGAGTTAGTTGACACTTGACGGTGTTCATCAAATGGAGTTACAACCAAGATAGTAAAAAAAATGTATAAACTGTGCTTAATATTAGAAAATTAATCATAAGTCTTTAACAACGTATTTGACATCCTTCTACATTTATTTAAACGATCAGATTCTCAGATTCTCTTTTGTCAATATACATCTAATATAAACTTGTCTACCTATGTTGTTTGCTGTGTAGCATTATGATTATTGTAATTATTGTAATTTTTCAATTCAATTCTCTTCTTATAGAAACATCTGAGATGCTAAGTATTAAATATAGGTTGTGTCCAAATGAAATTGGGTTTTTTTTTATAACTTACATATAAAAAGGTAAAAGTTGAAATTAAATTTATAAATGTATAAGTTCTAATGATAATGATTATAATTTGCTTTTAATCAGGTTCATCTTACATATGATATTACATTTTTTAAAGTTTATGATAACAGTTATTTGTTTATATTTTAGAGGTTAATTTTTTAAGTAAAGAAGCAGAATATTAAACTGCTTGAATTTTTTTTTCAAGTAGATATAGATTAGAATAATCTCATAAAATCCATTATAACTTAAAAACTAGTTGATTGAAAGGATCTTTTTATTGAAATCTAATCTGGATTTAAAAAAACACCCAATACTAATCACCCAAATTTTTAAACTTAATTTATATTCAATTTCAACAGTTAGGTCTTGTTTTCTTGTTGTTAGGCTACAAGTAATTTTTAGGTTTTGGGTGATAATAGCTTTAAAGTAGTTTAAATTTAACACGCTGTAGTTTTTAGAAACATAGCTAATAAATGTTATGAACAAAATATTTAGGAAAGTCTAAAATGTTTAGTTGAGGGATGACTGAAACTTGATACTCTGCAATGGGCCATACACTATTATTTTTTTAATGACAATTTGATGTGCACGTTTTTGTCCCGGAAAAATAAACAAAATTTGTTAAACTATTTAATGTAATGTGAATTTGGAGATAAATTCATGTGATTTTATCATTTATTTTGTAATCAATCCAAATTGCACAAACCTAAATGTACAAGTAAAATTGTATCTAACTTATACAAGCATAATATATTGTTTAATACAGTAAAAAAATTAACAGTTAAATTGCCATTAAAAAAAATATTATACGTCATCACTTAATGGTGATTAGATTTTAAACTTTGAGACCAACTTGAGCTCTTAACTAAGAAGTATAGTGTGCAAAAATAATAAAAATAGTATGTTTTGTTTGCTACAAATCAATATTTACTAGTTATGTGATTTTACGCTATCAAATTGGTAAAACTGTCACTGTATAATTTTACTTACTATTTGACAAAACTTAGTTTTTTAGTACTGATATGAATCACTTTACCACAGATGTTGTTTATAACAAATTATTGTGTGGTTATGTTTAAAAATACCCAAGTAGTAAAAAAAAAATACCTTGTTTAACCAATAATATAAGTAATTATTTCCATAACTAAAATGTAATATGTAATTGTTAGCAAAATAATTGGTCCGGGACGAGGATGAGTAACATAAAATGGTCAATAATATTTTTAATTCCAGTATTATAACGTTTATAAAATTCGTTCTTGGACATTAACTTCCTTTTTGTTTATGTCCATGTTTTGAGTAATACGTCAATAATAATACGTTAAGAAAAATGAAAACGGATAAAATATAATTTCATAAAAACTTGAATTTTCAATTTTGGACAGTTAATGAAAGAAAATAACACACTTAAACAAGAAATCAAGTTCAATATTCTTGTAAAGTAATTGTCGTTACAATGTTTCTTTCATTGTTCAATAAAACCATTATGCAATTAATGGCTTTTAAGTTAATTCAACAAAGTTTCATTACATTTTCCTAGTATTTGCTATTTTTATGTCGTTACATTTTTAAAAATAATTTGTTGTAATTGCTTTAAGAATTTGAGTTTCTTTGAATTTCTATTGTTGTAGCTCGTCATATAAAATGTATTTTGCTTATTAATACAGTTCACTAATTTTCAATATGATGTCATCTGACTAAAAATACATAATGGAAGTATTTAGTTTATAGGATTTTGTGCTGACAAAATATTATAATAATAACAATAAATAATATTAGATGGTTCTTATGGTTTCACGATGTTAATATTCTGACTTCCGAGTAAAGATGATTGGCATAAAACAAAGCTATCAATTATATTTGTTATAACAAACTAAAATTTTTGTAATTTCATTAAAAAAGAAAATTCCCTCTTAAAATGCACCATTATAACGTTAATACATGCTGAGTTTGAGTATTATACAATTTTGGCAAGTATCTTTTACTTGCTAGTAACAAAAATAGCATAACTCACCTACAATTCAGATGTATGTACTCAAAAACAAAACTGGAAACCAATTTACAGCCTATATTTTTTATAGCCCACCTATTCCCTTACATCTATAGTAATCAAATCAAGTTAAACCACGTTTTGTAGAGAAATAATTTTTTTTTGCGCTCATTTGCCTTAAAAACTTCAATTTACAAAAATAGAATTTCAATAAGCCATAAAGGTATCTTACAATTTTTCAAGTGTCAAGTTTAATACTAATTTAATATAATACTATGTTTAATATGTGTAGATAGTAAACTATAAACTATCGGAGTGTATTTTTTTTTTCAGCTAAACTACTAAATTCAAATCCTAAACCATTACCAATAAACAAAAAAATTATAATTATAAATCATAACATGATTTATTTATTTAACGGGAAATTAATATATTGTTTTTACAGTGAATTATTTTTAAATAATATACTTTTTATATAAAGAAATGCGTCTACAAAAGTTATCGTAAGTTTAAATACAAAACTTACAAAAATATTTAAAACCAAAACTGGCTCAACTCAATATTAGAAAGCATGTTAAAACAAACAAAATTACTAGTTTTTACTTCTAGATTGATAATTATTCTTCAAAATAGTATATTAACATTTAATTGGTTTTTATTTGTATTATTCGTTTCATATACTCATTTCAATCTCAAACAACCAATTGTAAAATGGATTTTAAATAAAATATATCGTAATTTTCAATCAAAAATTGAGTATAAAAGGTTTTAAGTTTGGTATTAGTTATATTAAAAAGTCAAACTTCCTTATCTCTTTTTGTATTAGTAAATATACTTGCCTTAATGAATTAGGTAAATGTGGGCTGAATGTAGTTTTAAATATTAATTTCCCTGTACTAATTTACTCTACTGTATAATTTAGATTAGTCACATTTGGTTAAAGTAAAAAAAAAAAAACTAGAACTTTTGTTCAGAATATACTAAATAGATTAAGTTAACTTGAAAATGATGCGACACTAATAGTATTCATGACGAAACTCAACTAAATACTCATAGTATATGGTAGTAATTACCTAAGCTTTTAACCATTACTTACTTTCTATAATTGTTTTGATATTTTGTTAAATGAAAATAAATATATTTGGTCGGTTGTGGTGGGTGCTGATATTAGATAATGTAGACTGAAATAGTTATTACCAAAAATTTTGTTTACAGTCTAATAATTGTGAATGTGTAAAATATTCAAAAGAATAGTACAATTTTTGTAAAAAAAAAAAAAATTGTATATTATATTGTAACAAGTTTATGGATTAGAACAATATTTAAGCTACCTAATGGGTTATTTAAAGTTGGTATGCATAATGCATTAAAAGTCCAAACAACTGTATATTACTGTCACTTAAAACATTGTATTATCAAAATACATGTTCTAGTAAAATAATTAATGAATGTATTGTTTAAGTATTTTTAAATTTTATTGGGTATTTTTTTCGACGAAATAATTTATAACCTAATCTAACAACCCTGTTTTGATCAATGCGTGTATCGGTTGTAAGACTTAATTATTTGACAACGTGAGAATGAAAGAGATCGAACTAATGATTTTATTTCTCAAATTCAAGACTTGGGTTTGTTTAGTTAAGTGTAAGGCGATACAACCTAATTACCAACAGAAAATTTTACCTTGGAAATTGGCCTTTTATTATAATAAATTATAGACGACCAAAACTGGGTAATTTTTTTGTCTATAAGTGTCTAAAAAAAAAAGCCAACTGCAATGGTATGATTTGCGCTAAACGATTTATAAAAAAAAAAAAGGGAAAAAACCTTGGCAATTTGGTGTAAATAGAAACTATACTGACTAGACAATATAGAAAATAATATATAATAATAATATATCCGAAATTCTACTAGTTATCGGCGCTTGCGATTGTGGAGGCGTTTTCAATTGAAAGGTTAATTGCTAATACTCGTTTTATCCGTTTTCTTCTTCTACAATTTTTAACTTGTGACACTCGACTCTTGTTTACGTTATCGTGTTCACGTGTTGTAAGTAAAAGCGCAATTTGTCGGTGTAGGCACCTCTAAAAAAAGTGATTTTAAACTACGGGAAATCGGCAGTCGGACATAACTTGTCGGCGTCTCCTCAAAAAAAAAGCTACACCGTCCACAACCGTAAACATAAGAAATCTGCCCCTTCGAAATATCAAATTATTACGTTCAAATTTGTTTCCGGGTTTTCCGACTCGTTAACAGTGGTTTTTCTTTGAAGAAACCCATATTCGATAATCAGCGTTGACAATAACACTGGGTTAGCCCATTTAGGACTTTCGAGCGTGCATTAAAACACTCGTAGAAAAATTGTGTCGGGCAAAACATCCCGCCAGATATGGTTTTATTATTGCCAACTCTGATTGGGTATAGATTTAAAAAACTGTTCGGTTGTCCAGAATGGTTTTTTACACGCAAAAACGCAAGTTGTGTGGCACCTTTTTAAAATCGTCGTCGTGACGTCAGGAAGAGACCACCCGAACAAAAATCCCTGGGGGACAGAGTCTGTGTATATTTAGAAATATGACAAG